GACATAACTTGGCTCATAAGAAAGATCAGTGATGCTGAACACTGTTTCTCTGAACAACGGCAGAGCTCCTTGACTAGCACAGTTTCTTAACAGTTTATGGTCTAATGGGGGCTATTACAAAAGGATGTAGAAGGCGAGGACTGGATCGTGAGAAGCACTCATTAATACATTGAAGCTGTCAGTGCTCATCCACTGTATATTAATTTTAGTGCAACCATTTTAGTCATGTTGCTTTTTAAGAGAGCCATTGAATTAATGCATAGGGTCAAGGTAGGATTACGTACATAATTTATAGGCATATGCAACACATGTACCATACTGGGGCTAGACTAAGAAGGTATGTATTTATTGTATTTATTTATGTATTTATTTGTCATTAAATGTGTTAAATGTCTTCCCCCACTTTTACTTTAATATAAGAAGCAATATATCAGAGAAGTTTTTCCTCAAGTCTGACATGATGACAAAACATGAGTGATGAGTACAAGATGCAATTGTTGGTGTTTGTTTGGCAAGTGATTCAGTGTCAGAAGCTGGGGAAGCTGGTTATGTGTCACAGAGAACCTACTCACTGAAGGTGAAGCCCAAGATATACAATGAAAGTAGGCAATATACAGCTCAAGGCATACAGTATAGAGAGATTGTATTTTTCCACTGCTAATAACTTCCTTGGTTTTCTCTCTCTTTTTTATCCTGTCAAAAGCAAGGCTTACAGGGCATGCAGTGGAGAATTAGTCCAATGAGGCTACTACAGCGACTGAGTATGTTCTCAAATATGTTCTTAAATGCAGGAGTTTATCTGTGTCCTGTGAGCTAGTAGACAAATACCTATAAGATTGTCTTACTGAAGTTCCAGTGACTCAGCACTACCGTTTTTTTTTTATTATTGAATTACTGAATGAATGCAAAAAAAGTTGACGAGACCTACTATTGAGCTGACACGATAAATTCCTGTTTCTTTCTTCAATTAGCATTCAGTGCATTCACACCTACCCGGCGACAGTGGCCCTATCATATGCCACCTATGGAGGGTAACTGTGTTCCAGATTCTCTTCTGTTTATCAGCAAATTCACATGAAATACACAGTAATGGAGATGATAGGAGTGTGAGAAGAAGCCCAGGATGGACCCACAGACCTGGAGCTGCCTGTATGTTTGTAAATGAAGGTGCACCATTCGTCATTAAGTGATATGTACGCTGAGTAGGTTGAACTTGCTAGAGAGTATAGTGGTGAATGAAACGTGAAAGGAGATTTAAGTAGGAATGTCTGTGTTTGTATGTTGTTTGTGCTATTGCATCCACGGTAAAAGTGCTGTCTATTTGAAGCTCAAAGCTCATTGACCAAAAGTCTAAGATGTCCCAGTGGATTATGTAATTATCTTTCCCTCTTGAGGTTTTTCAGTCAGATTCACCCTTTTTTGGCTACCTAGCATTAATGGTCCCTCTGGTCTTATGGATCAGATGAGAATAGTAATGCAGAATGGACACACTGGCCAAATTTGGAATCATGAATCAACGGTATCAGAAGGCTCTTGTCCACCGTGCTAGTACGTGGAAAAAAGTCTGAGCAAAGCTGACCGCCTCCTTCATCATAAGAGGATAGGTCCAGTGGCTGAGGATGCAGGTAGTCACAATGCTCACTATGAGGAGCATTTATGGCATCAGACAGTTGCTAACTGATTAGAGATTAGGTGTGGGTAAATTGCTTAGTATTCAATTCATTCAAATAAGTTTTTATGAATGGCTGTAATTGTGTGTCTTATCTGTAACTGTTAGGACAATTATTCAAGTAGCTGAAGGGTCTTTTGTTGTATTATGGCCCCTACCATGCAGAAATGAACATAAGTGATGTCAGACAAACTGGGTGCGGTGGCAGAACACACTCCTGGAATATGGCTGTCCACCCTATGGAGAGTAGGCACAGGGATGGTCATGGGGATATGGAGGATTCAGAAGATTGCCACATGCTTGACTGTGATTTCATCATGAGGGATTTATGCTTTTTTTTTTTTTTTTTTACAAGCCCTGAATACTCCACAGTGTGCCTCTGCATGTGTGGTAATTTGAGAGAAAGATGGATGGGGGGAAGCTGGGCTATAATTAAGCATTGGGATCTGGCTCGATATTCGCTTGATTGTGATGTATCCTTCTGTGAGCTCAAATGACAGTTGGCAGTTTACTTTGACTGCGGCCTATAGACTCCGTGCTGCAGTGGGTAGTAGGGCTGACTGTTGTCACGCGTATAAGATCAAATGCAGTTGCCGAAAGGTAATGTGTAATCTAAAATACATAATTACCTAATTTTCAGTTGAATCAGCAGTTGTGTTGGGATCCTAAGAGAATGTTTAATTTGCTCATTTGGCATTAAACCAGCCGACTGAGTTTAAACGAGAGAAATCAGAGATGTTGTCTAAAGCACCGACTGAAAAATTCTCCATTTTGTCCTCAGTATAGTATTCCTTTTGCATTTGAGGTTGCGCTTCTCTTAGTTAATAATTTGCATCACTTATATAATGATTTTTCTTTTTTTTTTTTGCAGAAGATGCTCTTATCTAGACGATCTTATAATGGCGAAATGATATTAACTGGAAAAAAAATGTATCAATCTGGAGGCCTTCTGGTCACAGAGCCAGGTGGTTTATTGCAATGCCATGTCTTCTGGGACATTCTGTTCAGTCAGAAGATTTAATGTGGTTTGGCTATCAATGAGTTACATAATAGAAATGTTACTGTTCTTGGCTAAAGAAATGATGTGATGTGTGTGTCGCTCTCTGAGAAGTTATTTGCAGCACGGCAGAAATAAATGGGCCACAGAGCTCTTCTGCATTAGTCTTTTGCGGTAAGTATTGCTTTTGAAAATCTGAACGGTTTTCTTCAACTTTAATACACGTAAATACAAAACGTACCTGCACTCATGAAAGAAATGAACATGTATATAGACAATATATGGATATGTGCTGCACAACAACTACTTCTGTAATTTTTTTTATATAGATTCTTAGGGAGTCAAATATGTAAATGTTTGTGTTGATGCTAAGTGGTCTTAACTACAGGGGACTACAAAGCACAGATATGTCAACCCTGCATGATTGTGGGGCTTGAATATGTCAGACTGAGTAATGTGTTTAATTTACAGTGGCTTGAGCCTTTGGGTTACTGTGCAGTGTGCACAGCTGAGTATTATTGAGCCTTTGGGTTACTGTGCAGTGTGCACAGCTGAGTATTATTGAGCCTTTGGGTTACTGTGCAGTGTGCACAGCTGAGTATTATTGTATAACCCCATTTTCAAAAAGTTGGGACACTGTCCAAAATGTAAATAAAAACAGAATGCAATGATTTGCAAATTGTATAAACCTGTGAAATTTTATTGTTTTATGACAAATATATGCTGAAGTTTAATTTGATGCCAGCAACACATTTAGAAAAAAAGATTGGGACAGGGGCAACAAAAGATTGGTACAATTGTGTAATGCTAAAACACATCACCTGGTTGAATATCTCATAACTAATTAGGTTAATTGGTAAAAGTGTAACAATTTAAGAATAATGTTCTTCAAGCTGTTGTGTAAATAAGATAAATAACATAAGGCTATTTAGTTGTTTAATATAAATACAATGTATAGACCTGTTCTATAGGAAAAGTAACCTTAAATGACTTCTGTTGTGATCTGGCGCTATATAGAAAATAAAATTAAATAAAATTAACTTGACCTTCAAGCGGGGGCGGGAGGTGCCGTAGGGGGGGCGGGGCGCCCCCTTAATATAATGGTAGGAGAAACACTGCTTTGGAATGCTTCAAAAACCATTGACTGTGAACACAGTTTGTAGTTGCATCCAAAAATGCAGGATGAAAATCTACAATGCGATGAAGAAACCATATCTAAACATGATCCAGAAACGTCACTGACTTCTCTCAGCCCAAGTTCATTTAAGATGGACTGAGGTAAAATGGAAAACTGTCCTGTGGTCTGACAAATCAAAATTTCTAGTTCTTTTTGGAAATCATGGACGCCCTGTCCTCCGGGCTAAAGAGGCAAGGGACCATCCAGCTTGTTATCAGCAGACAGTTGAAAAGCCAGCATCCATGATGGTATGATGATATTTCAGCAAGACGTATTACAGCAGCATGACTCCACAGTAGAAGAGTCCAGGTGCTAGACTGGCCTGCCTGCAGTACAGGCCTGCCATCCATTGAAAACATTTGGTGCATCATGAAACAGAAAATATGACAATGGAGACCCCAAACTGTAGAGCAATTAAAATTCTATATCAGGCAGTAATCGGACAATGTTTCACTTTCAAAACTCCAGCAGCTGGTCTGCTCAGCTCCCAAACATTTACAGAGTGCTGTTAAAAGAAGAGGTGATGCAACACAGTAGTAAACACGCCCGTCCCAACTTTTTTGAAACGTGTTCCTGGCATCAAATTCAAATTGAGCATATATTTGTCATAAAACAAAATTTCTCAATTTCAACATTTGATATGTTGTCTTTGTTGTAATTGTCAATTAAATATGGGTTTATCGAATTTGTAAGTCATTGCATTCTGTTTTTATTTACATTTTACGCAGTAGAAAAACAGGGTTGGGTATAGTATCAGTATTACACAGTATTGCTTTCACACTGGAGCTGGAAATAGACTTGAATGGCATACAGGCCACTTGATTTTTTGTTTAAGTTGTATTGTCTTTAAATATAGTACATTTGGCACAATTGCCAAAGTGAATAATTTTTTTGCCGTTTAGATTACTATGCCAGCACTTCTTGGCCAACCTGGGAATTTTCTCACCTGGATATAATGGCACTGAGCTAAGCTATGTATGCAGTACTTAAAGGCTGTCCGCAAGGCAGCCCGGCCGATTTGTCACTCCCCACGCCACCTTGCCACTCCTTTGACTCCAGTGAAGGCCAGTGGACCAGCTCCAGTGCGGTGTGCTGCCTCTCCGTCACAGTGCTATGTTAGCTCTGACTCCTCCCTCTGCTGTCCTCTAACCCCACAGTCATCTGCAGCTTCCGAGATTCTGTGTTCCAGGGCCTCGCTCTGGAGATTGGAGAGACTGTACAGATCCTGGAGAGGACAGAAGGTGAGATACGCTTGACTGGACATCATTGTAGGTCCTGTGCCTTACGCCGACCATGGGGATGGTGTCATGGCTTAAGCATCTAATATCCCCAAGACTGACTCCATTGAGGACGGTGACCAGAAATGCTTTGTTTATTACATTCTGCACCATTTTCCTGGTTCTTTTTTTTGCATATTTAAAGCAGGCAATCCTGCTTACACATTTTAATTATTTGTTTAGATTAGTTAACATTAAGCTGTTTTTGCTGGTGATTTTATCCCTAAACAATTCTGCTAATGAAATATTTAGATTGCAGCAACATGGTAGTAGAAGTACATATTTGTTTTCTTTTTTTAATCTAAACTTAACTTTAACTTCGATTTGTGACTGTAACACTGTGGTGGCTGTCCTCTGTACCTCACTCTGTTGAGAAGAATAGAACGTGCAGAGAAGTTTCGGTTCAGGATGTGTTCTCACCACTTAGGAATAAAATACCTTTAGCAAAAACAGAAGGAAATATATGAAACCATCAATGTTACACTGACACTCTTTAATGTTTCACATAAGGATTCTGTGCGCAAGGCATCTGGTCTCTCTTCACATTGATACCTTCACATAGGATGACTGAAAACAAGCTTTTCTGATGTATTGTATTATCAGATGGATAACAAAAGGAAGCAGAAACTCTAACAAATGCTACACATTAAACACCACTGAAATGTGACTGTGCAAGTAAGCCGAATACAAACGACACTGGAGTACTGACTGAAGAGGGAATGTGAGTAGAATGTGAGTAGAATTCGCAGTGACGTCTTGCTTTGCTTTTCTGCAGAATGGTACCGAGGATTTTCCACCAGGAAGCCTTCTGTCAAGGTAAGCGGGATGGTGGCACCCCCCCCCCCCCCCCATTTCCTGCAGGCCTCTGCCCTTGCAGAATTAGCTGACAGCAGAATGAGAGAGATGCGATGGAATTAAAGAGTCCCACTTGAGGTGAAATAAAGCAGGTGCTGATTGTTTTGAAGGTTTCTCATCCCTTGGGGGGGGGGGGGCTGGGGGCTTCAGCACTACTCTGCTGTATCTGTTGTGTTTGCTGTGTTCGGGGAATGGGTTCTGTCTGCGCTCTCTGTTTGCTGTGTATGGGTTTTGGAGATTTTATAGGTAAGAAAGGGATTCAGTATATTTTTAGTAAGATGTAGTACGGCCAAAGCTGTGGACATGTCCATCTAGAGTAATTGAGAGCTCATCTGGGCCAAAACCATTATTCACCGTGTGCCTTCCTGATAAGTTGCAAGAAGTCACGCCATTGGCTTGTTGCAAGAAATGCATCCCAGAAAGCACAGGAAGAACCATAAGCTGCATCACTGTAGAATTGTATTTACATGAATTTATAATAACATAGCCTAAAGGGAGTACTTTTTCAATAAAAATCTGAAAACTAGATTAGCTACCTCTGAAGCAAAGGAAAGGGAAACTACATATCCTGTTTGCCTTAAGCAACAGAGAGGTCATTTCTAAGACTGTTACAAGGCCAAGCTTTTTTATATCTGTGAAGAGAAAGCGAGAGCTGTGGTCGTCTGCAGGGAGTAAAAATTGAAAAACAGAAATGACTCTTGTTTTATTTCTGCAGGGTGTCTTCCCAGCTAACTACATACATTTGAAGAAAGCAGTTGTCTCTAACAGAGGGTGAGTACTTTTCACTAAATAAGCTTAAATAATTAACCCTAAATAACATAAAGTAACCCTAAGTAACATGAATATTTTTTATGAATCCCTGACTGTAGTATGGTGCATTGGTTAGCACGGTTGCCTCCCACCTCTGCAGACCAGCATTAGAGTCTCTCATGGGTCCATGTACTGACATGTAGTAGTGTGTGAGTGTGAGTGAATTATGTGTGAGTGAATGGTGTGTGAGTGTGAGTGAATGGAGTGTGAGTGAATGGTGTGTGAGTGTCAGTGAATGATGTGTGAGTGAATGGTGTATGAGTGAATGGTGTGTGTGTGACTGACTGGTGTGTGAGTGAATAATGTGTGAGTGTAAGTGACTGTGTATGTGTGTGAGTGAATGGTGTGTGAGTGAATGGTCTGTCAGTGACTGGTGTGTGAGTGACTGGTGTGTGAGTGTGAGTGAATGGTATATGTGTGAATGGTCTGTCAGTGACTGGTGTGTGAGTGAATGGTGTGTGAGTGTGAGTAACTGGTGTGTGAATGACTGGTGTGTGAGTGTGAGTGCCTGGTGTGTGAGTGAATGGTGTGTGAGTGAGAGTAAATGATGTGTGAGTGAATGGTGTATGAGTGAATGGTGTGTGTGAGAGTGAATGGTGTGTGACTGACTGGTGTGTGAGTGTGAGTGAATAATGTGTGAGTGTGAGTGACTGTATATGTGTGTGACTGAATGGTCTGCCAGTGACTGGTGTGTGAGTGAATGGTGTATGAGTGAATGGTGTGTGTGTGTGTGAGTGAATGGTGTGTGACTGACTGGTGTATGTGTGTGACTGAATGGTGTGTGAGTAACTGGTGTGTGAGTAACTGGTGTGCAAGTGTGATTGTGAGTGCCTGGTGTGTGAGTGACTGGTGTGTGAGTGTGAGTAACTGGTGTGTGAGTGTGAGTGCGAGTGCCTGGTGTGTGAGTGAATGGTCTGTCAGTGACTGGTGTGTGAGTGAATGGTCTGCAAGTGACTGGTGTGTGAGTGAATGCTGTATGAGTGAATGGTGTGTGTGTGTGTGTGTGTGTGTGAGTGAATGGTGTGTGACTGACTGGTGTGTGAGTGTGAGTAAATAATGTGTGAGGGTGAGTGACTGTGTATGTGTGTGAGTGAATGGTGTGTGAGTAACTGGTGTGTAAGTAACTGGTGTGTGAGTGACTGGTGTGCAAGTGTGATTGCGAGTGCCTGGTGTGTGAGTGTGAATGACTGGTGTGTGAATGACTGGTGTGTGAGTGACTGGTGTGTGAGTGTGAGTGCCTGGTGTGTGAGTGTGCCCTGAGATAGATTGTTGCCCCATCCTAGGTTATTCCCTGCCTTGCGCCCATAGCCTTCGGGATTGGCTCCGGACCCCCTGCGACCCTGAATAGGACAATGGTTTCAGAAAATGGATGGATGGATGTTTTTGGACTGTGAGGGGAAACCGCATGACAACACAGGGTGAACATGCAAACTCTACACACACGCAGAGCTGGGGTTCAAGACTCAAATGCAGATGTATGAGACAACAGTACTACCCACTGTGCCACCCAAAAAATAAAAATCAAAAAGTTAAAAAAAGGATGCAGGGAGTTGAACAATAAGAGGAGTGGGATCATTTTTGATCTGTTCCACAGTACTTGATCCCTTCAAGTAAATGAAAAGTCATTGGCCAGAGTTTCAGCCAGTAAAGAGAATCCAAAATAATTGTGTGCCACTATGCTCTTCACTTGACTGGTAATATGGTGCCTGTCTGCTTAGTACCTTTCATTTTATTTATGCTTTTACCCAAAGGAACAGACAGCTGGGATAGCAGGGTCAGAGGAGGCTATGGGGTTAGGGGCTCTAGTGGTAAAGTCACTCTGCTGGCCAGGGGATTTAAACCAGTGATCTTCTGGTGACAGTCACACCATCCTCACCGCCAGAGCCACAAACATACAAGCACGATATACTATACAGTGGTTTGTAACTGTTGTTGGTTTGTAAAAATCTAATTTGTTTAAATTGCATTTAAATAAATAAAAGTGGTTAACGCAGGGATGGGAATGAATTCTGCTTAAGTGTACGAAAAAAAAACCCAAAACATAACAAGAAAATGACTGGGAAATAAAAGTGTGAGAAAAGGCAAAAATGGTAGAAAATGGTGGAGTGGAGAACCCGTGTTGCATTGAGGTGGTGCCAGGTTAGAATTCCCCACTTGACAATAGACACCAGAGGGAAAACCAGATAGATTCCTCGCATGTTGTTGGTTTCCAGTGGGTCATGTTGGTCCGTGACCACCTAGAAATCTCCGGAGAACACGCCTGTGTTTCCCTTGTGTGCCCTTGCCACCCGCCGCTGTACAGGTATATAACAGATATTGGATACGATCAAGGCACGATGGTGGTACGTTATTTGCATTGCGATGCATGTTGTGCTGATTCATGTCATGCATATCTTAAGTACAACTAATTTAGTTATGCTCTATAATTTGTTTGTTCCAGGAGTTATCATTAATAACCTGTTAGCAAGGGATGAGAGAATATTTTTTCTTGGATTTTTTGCTTTTGTTAAAGGGTATTTTTTCTCTTTGTAATTATAGGCCAAATGAGATAGTCGTGCCCCTAGAAGACCCCATTGTCACAGAGGTGACTGCAGCCCTGCAGGAGTGGGCCGTCTTGTGGAAACAGCTGTATGTGGTGAGTAATGCTTTAGGTACAGAGCAGGCCATAGAGCTGGTCCTATTGCTGCAAGGCCTGTAACATTGGCAGTAGCTATGTGAGTACGCCTGATACCATTTCATTAGGGTTATACAGCAAAACCAGGATGGTGGTTTTCTGGATGTGGTTAGAGATGAAGGGACCCTTGTCTCCAGAGGCATTCTACATAAAGAGGATCAGAACTAAGCTTAGGAATGCGTTTAATAAATCGTTGCATGACGACACTGTCCGGTAACTCGCGTCCAAAGTGCATTCTGTTACAATGATTGTTTAAGCTAAGCTCTGTTTTTCTGTTCTCTGAGAATGAGAAAAAATAATAGATTAGCAATGGCACATAGATCCCTGTGGGGGGGCTGCCATTCTAGGAGGCTAGAGAGAGCTGCTGCCGCATCAATGGTCTCTGTTTGTCACAGTGAAATAATTCTTTGCATGGTGGAATGGGATGTCCTGTAACCTCAGAGAAGGTTCGGGCAGGCTGGTGTGTGGAGACGCTGATCTCCGATTGCTTTACAGGGTGTGTGTGTGGAGCTGTGGACTGCAGGTGCCCATGGGCCGGGCGTCAGCGTAAGGGGCCGGGCGTCAGAGTGAGGGACCGGGCGTCAGTGTAAGGGGGCGGGCGTCAGCATAAGGGACGGGGCGTCAGCGTAAGGGGGCAGGCGTCAGCGTAAGGGATCGGGCGTCAGAGTGAGGGGGCGGGCGTCAGCATAAGGGACGGGGCGTCAGCGTAAGGGGGCAGGCGTCAGCGTAAGGGATCGGGCGTCAGAGTGAGGGGGCG